GTAAAAAACTGTTTATAGTAATCACTTAATTTAAAAGTACACATTTCAAATTGGTTATTTAATGTAATGCAACTTATACATAAACACAGCTCCTGGAGACATGCATTTATGTGTGTGTCCAGAAGATGGTTCTCATCAAAAGGTAATGAGTACTGATTTCACCTTCTTTATACTATTTTACAATACTGACATAATGAGGACAAGTGAGAGGGTCTTCCTTTGGAAGTTAACATTTTTGAAGAAATTAGTCCTGAGAAATACAAAACTATAAGCTAACAATGGAGATTGCAAATACTGTCTTTACAGGCATCCCCAAAGATATCTACCCATTGAATTCTCCTGTGTGCAGTCATTAAGTCCACCTATGCACTTGAAACTGTGTAGCAGGCCCTGCTCTGATTGCGCACAGGGATGCCAGGTGCTTACAAGCAGCGGGGCAGTCAGGACGGCAGGCTTCTGAGCCTGTGCTTGCATCCCTGGCCCATAACTCATCAGGGCTCTAAAAACTCAGATGAATCCTCAAACTGCTCTGCACTTGTGTCCTCATTTGTCAGTGATAACACTAATACTAATGTCCACTGTGTTATTGCCGTGAAGCTAATTCATCCAAAATTTAAGTCTTAAAATAACTACAATGATTTATTAGCACTCCTAGTTTTTGTTGAGGGGGGAAAAGGATAATTTCAGCTCCATCTTTCCAGATTAAAAAGCCAGGGCTGCAAGTATCTGAGAACCCGGCTAGGGCTGGGGAATGTGCTTGCAAACCAGCTGTTCCAAAGGACTGGGAATGGGTGCAGATAGTTGATAGGGTGTCTTCTCTGCATGTTCACCCTGCTTTCACAGCACATTGGCTGGCTTCTCCCAGAAGGATTAACTCAAGGTGATCAAGGTGGAAGCTGCAGTGCCTTTTATGGCCCGGCCATAAAAAGCACACAGCATCGCAAACACACAGCATCCAGTCAGCTTTGACTTAATGAGAAGAGCAACAAAAAAGCGAGAGCCCCAGGGGCCATGCGGGGGTGGAAATGCTCACAAAGAGCTCGGATTCCTACTCTGCACCCACAATGAGCCACAGCCCCCCTGACAATTAAGAGTACAGAACCGCACCCCATCCAAGGGACCCAGCCACCCCCCACCCCCCACTGTGGTCCAATCCTCCAGTCTTTCAGATGAGAAAACTGAGCCAGAGGTTAAATAGTCTGGATGGTCAGGTGGGCAGCAGGTTTCCAATTGGCGTCTCCCACACCTCTCTTCTCACAGAGGAAATCCCTGTAAAGACAGAGTGTGGGAGCCTCCTTGCTAGAACAAAGTACCCCCCAGAGTTGAGGAAGAACAGATGCTTTAAAAGAAAGGATGGGAAAGCCTTTAGAGGATTCTGAATGTCGCCTGAGGAATTCACTTGCCTTTGATGCAAAAGGTCCTCTGGGTCCACAGAGGAGTTTTGAATGAATGACTCAAACCCAAGGGTAAACTCCACCTCACAGCTGTGTGTGCAGTGGATTGTGACTGCCGTGGAGGGTGAGGCTGTTGGACCTATCCAGGTGTCAGGGGATAAGGGCGTCTGTCACAGACAATGAGAAGGGGCTGAGAGACAGGGTGCTGAAGAGTCCCATTCATCTTCAACCCAAGATCCCATGTCAATTAAGGATTAAAGGGGCATCTAAGGTATGGGCCAGATGAGCTGATGCAAAGCAAGTGCCAGGACACCAGCTCCCCCAACCCAACCTACTACCCTTCGTTTTTGCTTCCATATAGGTTAAGTATATGTCTTCAACTGTTTCATGACACCAAATGCCCTGACCACAATGAATGTGCAATTTATCCTGCCCAAGAGGAACATGGATAAGGGGGAAACACAACCCTGGCCTAATCCCCTACAATTCAGATTCCAATCCAAAAGCATTAGTATCACTTGGGAGCGCATGCTAATGCCCTGGGAACTCCTGCAGACCTAATGAATGGAGATTATGCAGATGGCTCATAGGTACACCCCTACTCTGGGGAGACCAGAGACTCCCCTTATACTGATGTCGCCCAGGAGTGCTTTCGAAATGATTATGTCACGCTGCTGACTGTCCTCTTATCTACAATCCTTACTTTTTCCACACTTGCAGCTTAAACCACATCTTCTTACAGTTAGTTTTACTGAAGTGGGCAACAGTCCGGTCACATTGTGATGAGTTACAAATGTGTCTAGAGCAAGATCTTAAGGGCAGAGCAAAGATTGTTAATCTCTGTTCTTGGTGCCAAGTAAAGTTTGGTCCCAGTACTTAACAGTTGCTTATGCAAAAAGTAATCAGAAAATAAAATAAATCAACATTCATATAAATAATAAAGGACAATTGACTCATGCCATTAAACCATCCAAGACTCGCTTGATCCAGAGCTCAAACACACTGAGAGGGTCTGTGACCTTGTCCCCACTCCACCTCTGCCCCTGTGGGGACAGCCCCGTCCTCATCTGGCTCTTCCTGTGTGGCCTCGGGCTGGCTGCCAGTGTTGCTAGAGCTTTCTCCTTTCTCATCCCAAGCCAATGAGTAAAGAGTTTTCTGGAAATTTCTTTTCTCTCTGTATTGAAGTCAGTGGGGGTGGGGAGGCAGTGCATCAGGAAGTCAGTAAACTGCAGGGAGAAGTGGGGACGTGAGTGTGGGGAGGTGCCTGGCGGATGCGTCCCGTCGTGCTGCACTTCCGTTTTCTTTGGCACTTGCGACCATTTAGGACATCAGACATCACAGTAATCACTAACACAGGTTACAGCAGAAACTACTTTCAAATCACACGCATACTATTATGGTCCGTCTCATCATTTCAGTGATCAGCTTCACCCTGGCTTACCTCCTCCCTGAATAATAAAGCAGTCACAGGCGTCGTCTTGGCCACTCCAAAAACCACCCCAGAGTGGCTGGCCACACATAATAGAGGGTGCACTTGAAAGGCAGCATCCAATAACCAGTTCTAGTTGAAGACTTTTGTGTTTTTCAAACGCCCAATAAGCAGAGGAAGTGACCACAATGTGTTTGAAACCTTATAGCATGTGTCTTCAGGAGAAAAAGTACCTAAAACTAGATGGAAAGACTTGTAATTTTTTAAATTAAAAACTGTAGACAGTAGAGGTGACAGTCAAAGTAAAATAAGCACAAATCCTACATTTTTGTTTCCAAAATAAAAGCCGAGGCACAGGGAAAGTTGTAATATGGAACTGTGAAGTCTGCTCGTGCAGTACACTGCCCCGCGTGTTCACTGTGGCCCTGCTGGAGGAAGAGACTGCCTGCTGCTCACGCTGAGGGTGCAACAAGGTGGGCCAGCAGAGGCCCAGGCACTCAACGGAACCACTTCTACCCACCTGGTCCACTCCGGACAGCATCAGCTAGAAAGCAGACAAAACCAGCACCAGCCCCTTCTACTCCCTCTCAGCAGCACTGTGTGTGGCCCCAACACGCACCCAGAGACAGACTCAATAGAGTTCTCCGACCTCTGGTTTTCTTTATGAGAGGGGACATGAAAATAAAAGAGTTCATGTGACAAGGACAAACCAAGGGGACCAAGGCCATTCTTTCCCCTGCCCTCACTCAGTCCTATTCTGTGCTCTAACTCCATAAACACAACTAAAAAGTTTCCATCTCCACTGAAAATCCCCTAGGAGAATCGTACGGACATGTGAAGACCTGCCTCGAAGAACTGCAGTAGCTATACTCCTGGGGAGGAACTTTAGAGAGCCCCACGGTTTTCACAGCAATAGAAGACCACCACGCAGAGAAGAAGGAACATGGCCTCATCCCTTAAGGAATGAAAAGTTGGGCAAATTTAACTTAACAGCAGAATTCAATCAACCACAGCAGCAGCAGCAGCAGCAGCAGCAAACCTGAAATCCTCAAGGGTTGCAATCTTGCTTATTTAACTTTATTTTCTCACGAAGACCCCAGCTTGTATGTTCCAGGAGAATGCCCCAAGCGTAAACTGAGCCACTGTGAAAGGCTTACCCTCTCAAAGGCCTTTCAAGGGTTAAATATAAATTTAAGAAATTGGACCCACTGCTTCATGAGTCATGATGTTTGTATTTTCTTTAATTTACTAGATTTCTATCAGGTCTATCTCTGAGAATCTATGCGCTCAGGCAAGTTACCTTTCCTCTCCACACTTCAGTTTGCTTAGCCACACAAGGATGTGGAGCAAGTTTCCTAAAATCCCTTGCAGCTGTAAAGTATTTGTTTCTACACAGGAAGATACCTGTAGCAAACCTGTTAGGGAAAAGATACCTTGTCAGGCACCACGAAGGGCATGAGAGAGAAAAGAGCCAGAGCTGACCCCAATGAATGCATGTAGAAAACAATAAAAGGCAAGGAAGCAGCCGCTGTGACTCACGCCGGGAAGGGGTGCTGGCCACCCGAGAGCAACCGACCAAGCGTGTCCGGGCTCTGGAGAGGAGACCTGGCCTACTGCAGAGGCGGCACGCAATGCTGAGTCCGTGCAGCAGAGCCAGAGCAGCCACCAGGCGGGCTGGGCCAGGGCCGCAGCACAGACACACACAGCAGGACTAGGGCAAGGACAAAAGGCACGGCTCTCCCACCTGGGGTCCACACAGGAGGGAGAGCTGGGTCCAGGAGCAGGGCCTGGAGCAGACGGAGGGGGTCCCCAGCTTCCCCTTCACAGGAATAAGGTGGCAGGGGAGTGGAAAGACGGGAGTGGCTGGCACTCGGCCCCTGACGTCCACTGCGTTTTATGGGTCATTTCTAGCAGACCAATGCAACAAGCTAACAACTCAGAGCAACTGACGACATATTAATCCTCCCAGGGTCACCATGTACCCAAAAATGCTTTTTCTCCTGTGACCAAAAGGAAAAGGGCTAAAAGAAAATTCCCCCCGAAAAAGCAACAGAAATACATTTGTGAAGGCAAAACATCTGAACATCAGGTACAGTATGATTCACTGTAACCCAACAGATGTGAAAACTCCTCTGGGTGTGCTTTTATGCAGTTTGTACGAAAAATCCCACTTGGAATATCAGCTCAACATTTATTAAAATTCATAAAGCCATTTAAGCGAAGTATAATACAATATGCAATGACCATGATACAGTAATAAAAATACAATATCAAATACTACTTTGTGAGTTATAAACTATAATATAAACAATTTAGGCCTCTTTTTTAAAAATGAAAAAATATTTCTGTTACAACTTATTTCAAGCATTTTCAGTTAGATACAGCTTTTAAGTTTTCACTCGAATAGACAACAAAAGAATGCCTCTTTAAGTAACGGTAAGTAAAATATATTATTTCAGTATTTGCACTCTGAAGCATAGTGTGACATACATGAATTCAGATAAGAAAATTAAACTGTGCAATGGCAATATCCTGGCAATGATGAAGACTTGGACAGTTTCATATTTGGTTTTAAAATCTCACATCGGGGAAAAGAAGCAAGGACATAAAGGGCCAGCATCATATTTTCTCAGTGAAGCAGTCTAATTCCAGACCAGGGGCGTCCCGTTTTGATTTTCAAGTGCGTGGTGCCCACGTTGAAATGCTTCCAGTCCAGAGCTGCCTGCGGTGCTGGGCAATACTTGCTGATGAAGGGGTGGATGAAGAGTCACTGATCCAGCCAGTTCCTGGACAGCCGGGCCCATGGAGGGAGAGGCAGGCAGCCTGGCAGGTGGGAGGAAAACCTCACTGAAGCGCACACATGGAGCTCCTAGGCCGGTTGGCAGCCCTTGACACGGGATCCTGGTTGTAGTTTACAATGTCTGCCTTCACCACCCTCTGTCATAAAAAAAGGGGGGTGTTATCAGGACATCAAAAAGAGCTACTTACAGTATATTTTTATTTTCTGAACTTTGGTGAACTCCTGGTGATAAACATCACAATGAAGCAGAAGTGGTTATTAAAAGAATCAACCAGAACTATTAAAGAGCTGAATTTCTTTGTTGGTTGTCTGACTTTTTTAAAGGAGGCAATTGCTATTGTTACAATTTAAAGCAAAAGAGTTAAAATTAATCATTCCTACATGTTTTAATTCATAGATAAAACTGCCTCGTGTGAAAGTGAAGACTTTCCCCTGCTTACGAATATTTCTATAAGCCATTATATCAGTCCTAACTTTTCTTAGAATCTTTACGGCAGTGAATCGGTAAAGAGGGGAACGCTCATGAGGGCTCACACATAAAAAACGAATATTTTGAACAAACTAGTTTTTAAAAACTTTTCCCGTTTCTAAAACTTCACTCCTAAGACCCTAATTTACTTCCAAAGAGCTCACATTTGGGTTATGAATAATGACTCTAAAACATTATGGTACAATAAGGCATTTAGAAAATCAACCTAATATTCACGTTTTAAAAATAGTTTAAACAAAAGACACTTTTGTTTTCCTCCTTCCCTCTAATTCACACTTATATAAGTATCTGAAGCAATAAATTTAGCAAAATGCCCTAAAATTCATCTCTAAGAAATAGTTTAAATTAAAACAAACACTTTACTGCTCTCAATTCTTACGAAGTCTGCATAAAAGCAGACAAAAAAAGGCAATTCAAGACAAATTTTTCAAATACTCTCAATTACCAGGCTATTTCAGGAAAAACAGTAAAGAATGAATAATGAAATAACTGCCCCAATTCTCCACTTCACTACAAGCATAATGAGCACAACTATAAAGACAAATATGGTTGAAAGTAACTCAAGTGTTATTTTAATTTGTTCACTATTTCTTACTTCATTTGTAATTCTCTGGGCAAAGAACCAATTTTTCAAAGTCTAACAGAATTTATGCAATATTAATTGACAAAAATGTACAATAATCATATGAATTTCTCTATTCATAAAGAATAAAGAACAAGATAGCATTTACTAGTCCTCTCTCTCCCCAAATTGCAATAATTTATCTATTAATACCTGCACTACTGTACTGAACAGATTCTACTCTGGGAAGAGCTGGCATGTTGATTTTCTTCCAGGTGCTTCACTATTTCTGCCCTGACAATATGCTGTCAATTTCAGACATCAAAGACAAGATGGAGAAAGAAGAAAGGAGGAGGAAGAAGAAATAAGAAGGAAGAAAGGGAGAAAGGGAGAAAGGGAGAAAGGGGGGGGAGGTAGAGGAGAAGAAGAAACAGAAAGAGACAATAGGGAAATCAATGGCGAAAATTGGCCAGGGATTTAGCTCAGTGGCATAGAGGCCTGCCTTGCAAGCACACGGACATGAGTTCAATCCTTGTTATAAAAAAAAAAAGAAAAAAAGAAAATTGACATATACATTTAAACATGATACAGAGGAAACAGCAGAATACATACATAGAAAAGGAAAGAAAAGGAACAGAGGCCCAATAAATATTATTCTTTATAATACTATTTAATTACTGAAATACATAGGCCAATTGAACTTTCCAGATGAATTATGAGTTCTATTTTTGACAACATAGCCAAAGTACAGAAAAACACTGATTCCATTTCCTCAGACAAACATCACCAAAGCCCAGCTCTGTGCAGTCCCTCTGCTGACAGTGCCCAGGTCAGCTACACAGGATCCGTTCCCGAGCTGCCCTGGGCCCACCACTGATCAGTACACAGGCAGAAGAACTTAGTGAGCAGGCTCATGCTGCAAGAACACAGAGGAAGGGATGCCTATCTTTGAGTGGGGAGTGGAATGAAAGAATCAGAGGCAGACATATTTCATTTGCAGTTTTCATACTTAATGCTTTTACTTGTCCAAGATTTCATATGACGCTCACTTTCCCATTCCTCCAAACTCTAACCTTCATACTTCTAAATTAAAGAAGTTCAAAATGTAGTTGCAAGTCACATAAAAAAAAATCATGAAATACATTAAGCACAACAGTTGTTGCTTGCAAATACTTAAGCATTTTGCTAAACAAAAATTAAAACCACACTGCCATACTTTTAATTGCAGTAACTCTTAGGATGAAAAGATCACAGAAGACAAACACAGATGATAGCAGTAACATGCTCCCCATTTTTTACTCGAAGCTTTCTTTGACATTCCATATGATTGTAAATGCCTTATTTTAGAAAATCCTGCCTTGATAACAGCATCCATTAACTTATCAACATATTGAAAACATCTTACTAGAGGCTGTTGTTTATGAAGACATTTATCTATAAGTATTTGGTAGGTAGTTGAGAGTAAGTGAAGAAGTTGCTAAGATATATCAAAGTACAGTAAAAGTTCAGGTAGGTTCTATTTAAAATCTCTAGCAGGAGTGTTAACTTTTAGGCAAGATTCATGATTTACTCCACACATAGCCTGATGGTATCAGCAAAAGCAGGTGTGACCCCAGGGGAGGTATGAGATGGCCCCACAGTAAAATGTCCTATACCAATATCTGACTTCCTTAATCCGACTGTTAAACTACCAGTTACAATGAAGAGAAGGGATTTTCATAATCAGCAACTCCTTAACTCTTCAAAATGCTGATTCAAAGCCTATCATAAACAGGTTAGGGTCCTGTGTGCTCCAGATATTTTGATCAAAGTACTAACATAAATAATGGGTTTTCATCATTCATTTTATCAAATTAAAAATAACACAGCAGTGTCTTTTTTGGGGACTTTAACTGTCATAAACTCTGGTACAAAGTTTCTAAGCTGGAAACCATAGCGAAGGTTCTTTAGATTCCAAACTTTGTTTTCTGTGAGCAGTTTCTGTATCATAAACATTTGGTAGGTGGTTTCACAATAGTTGGCTTGGTTAAAAACCATTTATTGACCATTTCAGAGAAAATATTCCTACAAACCCCCATCTTCATTTTATGAGCCAGAAAGCATATTCAATTATTTTCTCCTATTGGTAAAAGGAGCAAAAACTAATGAAGACGCCTTAAGAGAAAGGAGCTGCGCGGGGGACAGCAGCTCCATCTGGTCCCATCCAGGAGCATTTATAGGCAGACGTGGAAGCGGCAGAGACCCAAAGCATAAGCAAGAAAGCAGCATCGGGATGAGGGTGAGAAAGTGTGCAGAATGCAGGGAAGCTCTTGGGAAGATGTTAAAATAAATTTGGTCGGTTGTTCAGTTGTGCCTTAATCTAGACAGAATCTACCACTACAAGCGCCACTGTTTACCTTGTGCAGGGTAAACACACAGTGAAAGCTGACACACCCACTGCTGCCACTCCTTCAAAGTCAGTCACTACTTACTTACTGCGGAAATTCAGATAAACAGTAGTGTCTCTGTTCTTGAGATGGGTAAGGAGGTGTAACTATTAAAGGATACTTTGATTGACTTCCGGGAGAACATGGCGGACAGATAACAGCAACTACCGGAGGCTCTCTGAAAACTAGGCTCAGAAGCCAGGAATGGTGCGGACTAAAGAGACATAAGCAGGTGGAGTTATGCTCTGCTGACTCAGGAACGAACTCGGCTGAGAGAAACCAACTCAGAATGCAGTCCTGGTGCTAAAACAGGAACAGAAAAGCCTCGCTGCTGAGGCTGGACCCCACGCCATTTGGGTTTCCCGCCGCGCGGTGGCTGGCTGCCTCTACATCGGCTCGGCAAGGAGAGAGACGCACGGAAACTCTGAGAACGGGAGTCTGTGAACGGAGTCGAAAACAGGACAGGCAGGGAGGCATGTTCTGACTTGTGCCGAGGTGAGTGAGAGAAACTGACACTCCACCACAGTTTGACTCCAGCGGACTTTCTGGGCCCGGGCAGTCCTGCGGGAGCAGGGCGCGCTGGCGACTCCAGCCACACATTCCCCTGTCGGGCGGGATTGGTGAAAAGTGCCTGGCCTGCGTGACGCTGCCGGCGGACCCCGTAGGCTGGCCCAACCCAGATCCCAGAGCCTGACGGAGGCCGGGAGGGGCGGGCCCCCGCTTAGGCTGCCTGGTGTGCAGCAGTGAGTGGAAACACCTAACCGGCGCAATTCGATCAGGCTGTGGCTGACAGAGAGAGAAGCTAGGCCTCTCATATAAGCTTGCATACATAAGGAACAGAGAATATGGGAAGAGGCAGCAACAAGAAAGGCTCCTCGGCCCCCAATTCTGAGAAACAGGCAATAACAGACACCGCACCATTACACATAAGGCGCCATATAGAGAGCCTCATAGACCAATTCAGGAATGAAGTTATCAACGACCTGAAGCTAGAAGTATGCAAAATAGTTAGAGAAATACTAAGCACCACCCAAGAAAAAACAGATGGTGGAATGGAAGAACAGAAAAAGAGGGGAGAAGTGTTTGATGGAGAAAACAGGGAAAGCATAGAATATGTGAAGCAGGTTCAAAGGGACTACCAAGAAACTAAGAAGTCTATCGAAGACTGGCATAACAGCTTGAAAGAAACTAAGGACAGACTATCTGAACTGGAGGGCAGAATTGTAATATGGGAGAATGAAATGAAAAACTTCTTAAAAATAACAAAGAAACAAACAGCAATAATACAAAGACAAGAAGATGATAAGAGGAGCCATAACTTAAGGATTAAGAACATAAAAGAAGAAGTAGGGACACAAACAAATGAACTACAAAAGCTACTCAAAGAAATAATCCAGGAGAATTTTCCTAATTTAGCAAAAGGTAAAGATACTCAGATGTATGAGGCATACAGGACCCCAGCTACCTACAACCCAAACAGAGCAACACCCAGGCATATAATAATAAAAATTCCAGAAATTCAATACAAGAACAGAATATTAAAAGCTGTCAGAGACAAGAAGCAGACCACTTACAAGGGAGCACCCATCAGAATTACAGCAGATTTCTCTGCACAAACCATCAAATCACGAAGAGCTTGGGGGGAAATAATTCAAGCTTTGAAAGATAATAATCTCCAGCCAAGATTGAGATATCCTGCACAACTGTCCCTCGAAATTGATGGAAAAACAAGGTGCTTCCAGGATAAAGAGGAACTGGGGGAATTTGCAACCACCAATTCAACTCTACAGAGAGTATTGCAGGATATTCTAAAAAAAGAAAAATACAAAGAATCCAGAAATAATGGAGGCCACAACGAATGGAGCAGAGAACAAAGTGAAGAAGACAAACTGACAGCTACTGACAGAATAAGAGCTCAACAGAAATGAGGCAGAGAAGATTGGATGATAGGAACAGGTATTTTGGAGAAAATGACATCTTAATAGGTAATACTGATTTAGTATCATCTTGTTTTGAAGTCTCATCTAGCTTTTGTCCTTCTGTCTCCAATGGTCTAAATAGGTTGTATCTTATTGGATTTTATTATGTACGATAGTATAAGCAAAAACCTTTTAAAGACAAGGAGATTATACAGAAACCATTGTTCATTTTCTGTTAGTCGATTCTAAATACTCTGTAATGCTGTCATTCTCTTGAATGGTTTTACATTGTTTTGATATACTTAATGCTACAGTATACGAAGTTGTACTCAAGGATTTCAAGGAAAGAGATAATATGGTAACTACTTTTAGGTCAGGATTATCTGGTGGTGAAACACTATTCTGCTTAAATGGTTATGTTTTGATCTGTGCTGTTTCGTTGTTATGCCCTCTTTTATCTCAATCTCCACTCCATTATTTACTTTTTTATTTTTATCCTTTTAATTAAAGGAAAAAAATAGCAGGATATATTATAGTAACCCACTTTGACTTTCCATTACCTCGATTTAAAGCCCTGTATTACTCTCACCATCTGGTTTTTAACTGATGTTCCCCCATTCTGTTTTGCTGGATAGTATCAGGTTCGAAAATTTAGGCATCAGCTGTGAAGATAATGAGATTCATTATGACGCCCATTCTCATTGACTTTTATCTATTTTTGAAGACCTACAATGTCTCCAATGTTTTGGTTTTGTCGGTTTTATTCTTTACAGTTTTGTTCAATTGTATTGTAACTAACAATATAGGCAATTCTATTAGAGATAGCGGGAGGCATTATGGTAACCATTGTTGATCACCTTGTATTATGTTTTCACATTATCTATTATGTCCACCCTTTTGACTTGACCGATTCTGTTCTGTTATGTCACATTTGGTTTTACTCTCTTCCAAAAAAGTAATAAGAACCATGGGAGCAATGAAACCCAAAATGTGTAATAGTCATTGTACAAAAGAGAGGAAAAGAAAGTGCTCTGTACTATATAACTGCATGTATATTTAAGTGTATAAGATAGAAAATGATATCACAGAGTTTTATTGGATCATTGAACAGAACTGTTTGCAGTATCATTGATGGAATGTCTACTTTACAAGCTTTAATTTTGTGACTTGAACAATTATTTCTAAGATGACAATATGTAATCCATTAACTAGTAATTTCCTACTGTTCATTTTTTTTTCTGCAAATCTGTATAACTTGTACCCTTTCTCTGCTTTTTTTCTTTTCTCCTTAAATAAAATTTAAAAAAAAAAATTAAAAAAAAAAAAGGATACTTTGATTGATAGGCACTCTAAGTGTACACAGATTACCACAGGAAGCACAGACACAGCATGTTAAAAAGTACAGTACAATGTACACAGTAGGAGCTAAAATGGAAAAGTTATTCCTCCACACGATGAGTCGAAAATGCTGCCAATAACACGCAGAAGCTTGGGTAAGTTGTTTCAGCTCTTTGGTCTTCACAATATCTTAATCCATAAACACAAGGTTTATCTAGTCAATATCTAAAGTTCCATCTGATTTTTAAATTTTATTTAAAAACAAACTTAAAGTTGAATAGAAGCCAGGCATGACGACACACACCTATAATACCAGAACGCTGGGAGGCCGAGGCAAAAGGATCACAAGTTCAAGGCCAGACTGAACAAGTGAGACTCTGTGAAACTCAGTGAGACTCTGCCTCAGTTTAAAACAGGCTGGGGCCACAGCTCAGTGACCAGCTCCTGCCTAGCACTGGGCTGAATCTCTGGAGGGCTCCCTGCACCTGCGTGCTGCCCCTGAGGCTCAAATCTCCTCAGTGTAGCCCGTCTTCCCCCACAGGCACAGCCCACCATGCCTGCGGCGATGCCTCTGTCCTCTGGGCAGGGAATCTCAGGCTTACCTCTATCTCCTGTTATGCAACCCATTCCACAAACCTACAGATTCGTCTTTAAATGGCTCTTCAATCCAGCCTTTCTTTCCCTTCTGCCTTGACTCTGGTATTTTTCACAATAACAGTAACCCCAGCTCCTTACCTCTATCTCCCTCCCATCCAACCACACACAAAAATACTCCATTAGATTAATTCTAGCTAAAAACTTCTTTCACTTAATTCCCTATCTAAACATGGATTTTCCATTTACAAAAGGTCAGAGCAAAATCAGCTGGACATTCATATATCCCCAGAATCTGTTCTCATATTCTCTTTTTATGGCAATACAAATGGTATTTTAATCAAATCACTCTTCTGTTGCTAAACTACAACCTAAAACCAGGGAGTTAGTTCAGTGGCATACCCACCTGCCTGGCAAGTGTGAGGTCGTGAGTTCGATCCCCAGTACAAAAAATAAAATAAAATAAAATAAAATAAAATACAACCTCAGCTTTTCGACTCAGGTACTTTCATGCCAGCAACTCCTTCAGCTGTTTTCCTCTACTGCAGCCAAACTGCCCAGTACACTGTCTCTCACAGGGCGGAGTAAAAGAGTAGAGGTCCTGTGTTGGGCAGATCTGGGCTCCAATACTGACTCCCTCACCTAACAACAATGGCTTAGTGATCAAGTTACTTAGTGTTTCCACAGTTTCAGGATTATGACAATGCAAGTTGATAAATGCCTCCTGTTCCAGAGAGTTACTATGAGAATTAGATGTGATACCATTCATAATAAATTCCTTCACTGGTGACAGGGACTACATTTCAAATTTAAGTCTCCTTCGGGCCCTCCACTACACTGCTTATGATATGTAATACATAATCAGTAAATAACTTACTGGAGCTTCATAATCATTTACAGACTCTCCAACTAACCAGAGGCAATATCATTTAGAAACAGAAGCTAAAACGCTGAGGAATCAGCTGAGCGCTGAGGTCACAGGAGTCTGTGTGATTGCATTAATCATGGCAGCTCCTTTCTTGTATGCTCCTAGGCCAAAGGCAAGTAGCTACTTTCCCAGTGGGAGGTGTTACAACGCATAAAACAGCCGACTGTTCTGTCTGCCCATAGAAAACACTGAGATGAATGTCTGAGTGACAGTAAATAAAAGTGGTGAACCTCCAGTGTTCCCAATGACTTAAGTCCTGGTCACTGCACTGTAACAATTTTCAGTTGGTATTGCCTCTGGTTACTCTGACACATAAACACACATCCAAAGTGTGACTATGAGAATATGACATAAAACTAACTGCAAAAGAATTTAAAGATACAACAAGATCATTATACCTGTTTAGCTACATGGAATAAGGGTGCCCCGGAAGACAGTAAGGGGAATGTTCGTTTCTTGCTTCTAATGAAAGCATTACTGAAGCTCAACTTTAAACTACAGGGTCTTGTTCTAATTTTTCATTGTATCAAATAGAATAAGAATGAAATTATGACATCTTCAAATTCTTAACCCATGGTATTCATAAGTTCTCAAAGACAATAGTGAAACAGTGTCTAACAATAGTGAAAGAACACAGAAATCCTCAATAATTAATACTATTAGAGTATCAAGGGCTGGGGATTTAGCTCAGCAGCATAAGCACCTGCCTTGCAAGCAGGTGGTTGTGAGTTCAATCCCTGGTACTGGAAAAAAAAAAAGAAAGAAAAGAAATCAGCTAGAGTATCAAAACCCCTATTAGATTCCCAAGAATTGCTATCATTATAGCTGAAAGTATTTTAAAGATGACTAGAAAACCCTAAAAGAACTGGAGTAAAACATATAAGACAGCCAGAAAGTTAACCCACAAATTAACCACTGATAAAATTTTATCAATTTCCCAACACAGGGGACAAAATGAGTTACAGGATTATCTTATTTTGTTAAAAGTTAACATTCTCTGTCTTTTTCAATCAACAGTGATTTATATACACAGTCTTATTTTCAAAAGTTTTCAAGTGTACATATACAGAATGCATAAGTATGAAAGGATTCCTGGGCAACAGTCAATGTATTGCAAGAAATTCATTATTTTTTCAAACTATAAAGCTCAAGATAATCACCTGTGACTGTTCTATTTCTGCTTTGTTTAACTTGATTCCAAGGATTTCAGCAGCAACTTTCTGAAAACACAGGAAGACCTACATAACAAAAATAAATTCAAATGATTTAAAACAGGCACGTTTGTATCCTTTAAATAAATTGAACTTTCTAAAAAATAATAAACAGCAAGAATTATAAAAATATGATGCAGCAGGTGATTCCAAATATAGCTCTGTAAAATATAGCAACATATTAAATGGAATAATTTTAAATGATTAAACCACAATTTCAAAATCCATGCATTTCACTGAATTACATTTATCACTAAAATAGACATTTTTAAAGATCTAATATGACAGTTACGGTTGTCACATTAAAGACAAAATAACATCTAAACAGTTATTAGCATAACAAATTTCATAATTCGTGAAGAAATGAAAATAAATTAATCTACACTTTACTACTCTAGCCTTTGACTTCCAATTCACTACTGGTCTTTTGACTTACCTTCAGTGTATCTTAAAAGATCTTAATTTCCAACACACTAATAATAATTGTGGCTCTCATCAATTTCAGCAAGTTCTCCATATCTTAAGTAAAACAACTTGGTACTCTTTACTGTACTTTATCAACTCAGAGTAAAAAACAATACAATGGGATCATTATAGTGCTTTTCTATAAACTGCCTTTTATATCTGTTGTTAATTTATGCCAGTTCTATTATGATTCCTAGAGTTCGAGTACTGCCATTTACTATAGTGTAATTTATCTATGCCTCATAAATATCCTAACACATTCTCAGCCCAACTCATGTTTAATAATTTAATTTTTATTTGGATCAAAATATGATGTGTATGTACCAATTCCCCACAATGACTGCAATTGTTATGTATTATAAACATACATTAATAAAAAGGAGAGAAAAAAGAAATACAAATTCCTGATTTATGCTATTTTTATACAACTGCCTGTAAGATTTATACTATCTTTACCCTCAAAAGCAGACACTTCAATTAACTGATGTCAATGTTCAAAAACCAATAAGAATGCTAATGTGTGGAATAGAGCAAGGAAGTATAAAGGAAGATGAGCAGGAAGATGATACCAATCACGGAGGACCCTGCAGGCTACTGGAAGGACTTTGGTATTTATTCTGAGTAACATGGAAGCCATGGGAGCCTGGCCTGATGAGATTTTTATTTTAAGAGGACCAATCTAGATGTTGTAAAGAAAGCAATGAACAAAACACAGAACACAGAGATTGTGGAGGTCAAACTAAACTAGTAGCAGTGGTGGCGGTAAGAAACAGCCACTACATTTTTTATATATTTACAGCCAACAGAAGTTAGTCAGTGATGGCATGCGTTTTAAGAGTAGTCAAAGATGACTCCCAAATTTTTGAGACCAAAGCAACTGGTAGGCAGAGCGGCCACTTAATGAAGTAGGAAGACTGAGAGAGCTGAGGAGACAATGTGAGCACCTCGGTCTGGATGTGTCACATTGCTGGATGTCCCTGCGGCCATGGTGGGTGAGCATTTGAATACTAAGCCCAGAGTTCAGGGGTGAGATCGTAGCAAGGCCATAAAACTAACTCAAATTCTAAGGAATAAGTATAGAGAAAGAGACACCAAGAAACGGAGCCTTACAGTAGCCCAATAGTTACAGGTTGGAGCAAAAAACGGAATAAACAAAAAGAGGGGAGAGACAGAGAAACAGATTAGGGAGACAGAAGAAAGAGCAGGGGTATCCTGGAAGTTGAATGAAGAAAGTATCTCTAAAAAGAGATGATCAACTATTGTACATGCTGCTATGAATACATAAGGGTTGAGAAGCTATCACTGAATTCCTCAAAGAAAAGGTCACGAGTAACCTTGATAATAGCAGTTTGGGTGAAATATAACAGTCCATTGGAGGAACTGTTCAAGAAAAAGTGAGAGAGAGGAACTGTAGATGACTTTCAAAGCATTCTGCTGGAAAATGAGGAAAGAAATAAGGTAAATAGGTAAAGCTGTAGAATCATCTTTTAAGATAAGAAAATAAATAAGAAATAAGGTAAATGGGTAAAGCTGTAGAATCATCTTTTAAGATAAGAAAAATCATAATATTTTGAATGCTAATAGAATTAACTAGTAGACAAAAAAAAGAATATATGAAGAAGAGAGCATTACTAAAGCAGTTCAACAAAGAAAGATGGCAGTGATGCACCACAGAGAGCTTGCCTGAGGCAGGAGCAGTGCCCTCGCGGTAAGCACAGGGGACACAGAAGACGGCACAAATGTGGCAGGGACAGGAGGGGGGCATTTGGGTAGATGTGTGGTGGGGGGTCGGTGTCTCTTTTTCATATTTCTTACAAAATGAGAAACAAGGTTATTAGCTAAGAACACAGAGGAGACTGTTTTGAACACCTGCGGAGAGAACAGAAGCTATAAAACAGTCATGTAGGTCAGATGAGAGCAGAGACCTGTGATTACCGAGCAGCAGTAAGGTCCACCAGAGGTAGTGACTAAATTTAACGTGAACCCTCCAGCACCTCTTTGTTCTTCTGTGGTCATATCCATGTGTGCAGCCACAGAAGTAGAGGCTTGATTTAAAGCAAAATTAAGATTTGGCCAAGTGAGTTTGACAAAGAAGAGAAGAGAGGAGGGGAGGGGAGGGAAGGAGGAAGGGGAGGGGAGGGGGAGGGGGAGAGGAGGGGAGGGGAGGAGAGGGGAGGAGAGGAGAGGAGGGGAGGGGAGGAGAGGGGAGGAGAGGAGAGGAGAGGAGAGGAGAGGAGAGGAGAGGAGAGGAAAGAAGAGAAGAGAAGAGAAGAGAAGAGAAGAGAAGAGAAGAGAAGAGAAGAGAAGAGAAGAGAAGAGAAGAGAGGAGAGGAGAGGAGGGGAGGGGAGGGGAGGGGAGGGGAGGGGAGGGGAGGGGAGGGGAGGGGAGGGGAGGGAAGGGGAGGAGGGGAGGGGAGGGGAGGAGAGGAGGGGAGGGGAGGAGGGAGGGGAGGGAGAGGGGGAGGGGGGAGAGGAGAGGAGGGGAGGGGAGGAAAGGGGAGGAGAGGAGAGGAGAGGAGAAGAGAAGAGATAGGGAACCAAGAGCATACACATGCCAATGATTCTGACTGGCCATGAGCTTTAGTTAGGAATGGAAAAATAAGGCCATCAAAGGTTAGGATTTCATAAAGGCATGAGGCTCTATGCCTCGTAGGTCACGTTAGGGTTGAAGAATGACTGGGTTAGGACACTTACAGCGTGAGCAGGAAAGACATAGTGGTTGATTCTTATGATGAGGATGTCTGACACTGCAATAAGAGAGCTGTAGTGATGTGTAATGACACTCACAGGAAAGGGTGGCACATGTGGGTTGGAGGACAAATAGTGAAACCACTAACAATCAGGGGTTTTAGTATCTTAGAAATCACAACAAGCCAATACTTTTAACTCTTCAAGGAATCATCCTGGACCTTTGTTAACTGCAAGAACAAATAATTTCAAAGTAGTATCTACAAAGAATACAATCACTTTTTAATGGTGGTTCAACACAAGTACACAAAGAATACTATACTAAGCTAAACAGAACCTCAAATATTACAAGTTAAAATACTCCCAAGATGGTAAATGATCCCTACAAAGATTTGAGCAAAGAAGCCCAATCAAACTGTAGATGAGTTTTTAAGAAGCACTGATACTGTACTTATAAATAGCATATTTACAAGTGTACATGGGAATATGCCCATATACACAGCTCCAAGAAGCCAAATTAGATGAATATAATCTTAAAAAAGTTTAAACTCCTTTTATATAATTTAATATTTAGCCTAGTCATTTAATCTATGCAAGATACTATAAAAGAAAAATATTAAATATTAAATCACAGAAAATTTTCAAATTTCTTTTGGTTTAAAAAAATAGTAAGAAAATTAATAGTCATGATCAAGAGACTAGGTTCATTTCCTAGCACCAAAAGATAGAAAAAAAAAAAACAATCAACAACAAAAACAAAAAACAAAGTAGCAAATATATTTACAAAATTATAACAAATAATTTCTATATCTGATATAAAAGTGATCATAGAAAATTTTAAGTCAATGGAAATCTATAAAATATTAATAAGCAGAAAATGAGTAGCTAGTAAAATTTTTAAAATTTCAACCACAAATAATTAAAGAAATTCAAATTTAAATAAATTTTTGTTGTTTCTTTGGGCCTACCCCTTTGACAAAAATTTAAAATAGGTAAATAGAGTCTCAATGTTTAATCTGACTGTGGTGAGGCATGGTGGTACAGAATTGTAATTCCAGCACTGAGTAGGAGTCTGAGGCAGGAGGATCACTGTGAGATAGCCTGGGATATGTAGTAAGTTCAAGGCAGCCTGTACTACATAGCAAAAGTAACAGAGAGGCTATCATATAATACTGGTGATAGTATAAATTAATTTAGCTTTGAGGGTGGTAATTTCCATCCTAGTCAAGGAATTTATTTAAATGAAATAAGCAAAATATCAAAAGTTTATAGACAAAATTTTACATTAGAACATGATGTACAGAACTCAGAAACAACACTGAGTAACAACTTAGATATATGTCCAACAATAAGAACATGATCAAATATTAAACATTTAATTATTAAATCCAGTGATAATATTAAAAAAATTTTTCTACCAATGAAAATACTTAATGAAAAAGAAAATACTAAATCACTTTTATATTATTATCTTAATATTTTTTAGCAAATATTCATAGTGTTTAAGACAGTGAGTCTTGGAATGTCACCTGCTGCAACCCATGCAGCTCTTGAGGATCATGGGGTGAAGGACTACGAGAGGGGAAGAAAAAGAGACAAAGCTGGGGTGAGGTGGAGCCCTTACTCTCCTGAGGGGAGGAAAGGAACTGCTCAACCACTACGGCACCTTTATTATACACTCAGAAAAAGGATGTCAATGTCATCCCTGCTGCCCAGCACCCCATGGCTTGGACTGTCTAGGAGCTCGGTGTTTGCCTGGGCTGAAGCAGCTTCTTTAGGTGGCTGCCCCAGGAGCTCTTACTCTTGAGTCGGCCATGCCCTGGGTCATACATTGTGTTCAATTTCCAGCTTCAACAGCTCCCAACAGCCATCACCTGGATTTACAAACCCTTTCTTCATTATTATTAGCTATGTGATTCAGGCAGTGTTACATAACTTCTCTTTTAAGACTTGTTATAAAACAGAGATAATCAGAGTAGGTAAGTACTCAATACACACAATCTGCAAAAAGAAGTGCTTGCACTAGTACTTGTGACAACAGATAAAGACTCAAAAGGAATCACACGGGGTTATCAATGGTCATCTCTGGATCCTGGGTGATTCACATGCTTTCAATTTTTGCATTTTATATTCCCTAGAATAATACAATTATGTTAAATTAATTGTAAAATATAAAAAATATCTCTAAAATTTTTCATGTCTTCAGTAGGAATTAATTTGTTCTAAAAGGTTAAGCATATTTTCAGGGAAGAACCCATGTCCAACACTGACTTTCTCCTGCCCAGACTACTTTTTCAAGTGTAGTCCTTTATTGAGCAGTTTCTCTTTTTACAACACTAAAGACCCCATGTTATATTAGTAAATAAAAGAAAACATCACTTATAATACACAGTATTCCTTAGTTTACTTACAGAGTCTCCTGTCTTGGCTGAGACAAAGTGGCTACTAAAACCATTTTCCTGGCAAAATCGTAAGTGCTTCTCAGGTTTTACTGTTCGCATATGCTCCAAATCAACTAGAAAAGTGTTAAAGAGAGAACAAAATTCAATACTGGAGTCAATTAAAGCATTTCTAGTATGTTTACATTTGATTTACTTTCCAGGGTCATACCCTAGTTCAAAAACTAGCTGTGTAGTCTTGGGCAACTGATTTAATTTCTTTATGCTTCATTTTCTACACTTATAAATTGAGATAAATTAATGTATTTCCTTTATACAGACTTCTCTCAGCACTGACCCATGCACACTACACAACGGTGTGAGCTCTCACACTCTGCATAAATTTAGACACAAAGATGGTACTCAGGTACCTACTCAGTGTAAGGTATTTAAGCACAGGGACTAACTGAACATAAGGCATTCTTACCCAAACATAATTAATTTGAAACAGTTTAATTACTTCATTAGGATAGTTTGGTAATCTTTATAATTTTACTATTAACACAAATAAATACTATCTTTCTAAAAATGAACAATATTATACTGCATACTGACTATTTACAGCCATGGTTTAATTTCACAGATACAGTTCAGCTGTATTGTTTCCAAACCTAATGTGCTCATTTTGGGAGTTATGGGAAAAGCTGAAGAGATGTAGGTATTTTACAGCACAGCACAGAACCTAGATCCAATACTGGTTTTCTCTTGCTCAGTCTACTTTTTCAAATTTGATCCTTTATTGTGCAGCTTCTCTTTTTACAACCTACAGACCCTGCAAGGGTGCTAACCCAATGCCATCAAATTATAAAGCAAATACATTCACAGGGTTTAAGGACAACTAACCTCTTTGGGTCAATAGAGGGAAAAAAAAAAAAACCTTAAATTGATTTCCTGAGGAAGGGACCCAAATGACTTGTAAAATCTTGTAAATTTGCAAATCTAGTGAGGCTACACAATAGAAGCAATTATCAACTAAAAAATGCTTTCATACTTTATAAAAGGCTTTATTTAAAACTATATTGAAAGTTTTCCATCTGTAGGCTCAAGACATCTTTCTCTAGGAGATTTCTGATCTAGTAGGAGATTCCTGAGCTACATTTATGTTGCTTACCTTGGAAAATTGAGAGGGATTTTTTTTTTTTTTCTTTACTGGCCACAAGCCACTGTTCCTTAAACATCACTAAGGCCTTATTTACAAGAACAAGCCAAAAAATGTTCAGTTGCCACAAGCATCAATTTGTAGAAGACTAAAATACTAAGCTATTAGCACTGATATTTACATATCTAGTTCATCATAATATTGAAACTAAAATACTTTCCTAATTCAGTAAGAACAAGAACAAATCATCTCATTAGGAAAAACCCCAATGAAGTGTCTCCAACTGTAAAAAAATGAAGTATCATTGGAAGCTTGTTTGCATTTGTCTTTTTTAATAGAAGACTATCATCACTGTTTCTTTTTGTTTTTTTCCTTTGCTCTAACTTTGAACTACGATATAAGTTCATCCATAGCTTTGCAAGATGTACTGTAAATATCAGTGCTAATAGCACTGGCTTGTGGCATGGAAACAGACACAGATCAGTGAAACATATAGAACTCCAAATAGCCATAGCCAAAATAAAACTACACTCAGTCATATAATAATCAACATCCCAAAAATTCAACATAAGAACAGAATATTAAAAGCTGCTAGAGAGAAGACACATATCACCTATAAAGGAAAGCCTATCAGAATCACAGCAGACTTCTCAACACAAACAATGAAGTCAAGAAGAGCATGGAATGAAGTATTTCAGATCCTAAAAGAAAACGACTTCCAACCCAGACTGATGTACCCTGAAAAACTGTCCTTCAAAATGGATGGAGAAATAAGATATTTCCACAACAAAGAACAGCTTAAGCACTTCATAACCACCAAACCAACCCTGCAAAGAATACTGAAATACATTCTAGATAGACACAGGAAAAAAACCACTAAGCAAGGCAAACAATTAAACAGAATGGAAAGGTAAAGAAGCAATAGCAGAAAGATAACATGTCAAAAATAAATCGATATGTATCAGATATAACCATTAATATAAATGGCCTCAATTTACCAATTAAAACAATCAGACTGGAGAAATGGATCAAGAAATAACATCCAACCATATGCTGTCTACAAGAAACCCATCTAACCCAAAAGGAAACTCATAGAATGAAAGTCAAAGGATAGGAAACAACAATCCATCCAACAGGACCCCTGCCCCCCCCCAAAAGCAGGGGTAGTTATTCTGCTTGCTGACAATGTGAACTTCAAACCAAGAATGATCCAAAGAGATAAAGAAAATCACTACATAGTAGTTAGGGGAAAACTTCAAGACTAAGAGGTAACAATCATTATGTATATACCAAATTCGGGAGGACCCAGCTATACAAAATAAATATTAACAGAAATAAAAAATCAAATAAGCAACAACACAATTATAACAGGAGACCTTAACAGGCTATTGACACAAAACACATATCAATTAGACAGAAAATCAGCAAAGAAATAACAACTGAATCACACTGTGAATGAATGGACTTGGTGGACATATACAGTGTTCCATCCAACAACATCAGAATATATATTCTTCGCAGCACAGGACATTCTCCAAAACAGACAATATTCTAGCCCACAGAAACATGGTTAAGTAAATGAAAAGAACTGAAATTATCCCATACATGTTATCAAATCATAGTGCCATGAAACTAAAAATTAATGACAAAAGAAATTGCAAAAACCCCACAAACACATGGAAAGTCAATAATACATTCCTGAGGAATCAGTGGGTCACAGACAACATTAAGAAAAATTAAACAATACTTAAAAGCAAATGAAAATATACATACAATGTTCCAGAGCCTGTGGGACACAATGAAAACAGTCCTCAGAAAAAATTTAATGCGGTGAATTCCCACATCAGGAAAACAGAACAAACACAAATAAACAACTTGATGCTATACTTCAAACATCTAGAAAAAGAAGAACAAGTCAAGCCCAAAGCCAAAAGAAGGGAAGAAAGTATAAAGATCAGAGTACAAATCAATGCAGAAGAGATGAAGAAAACAATACAAAGAATCAATGAATCAAAGAGTTGGTTCTTTGAAAGAATAAGTAAAATTGATAAGCCCCTAGCCAACCGTATTTTAAAAAGCAAAGAAAAAATTCAAATTCATGCAATAAGGAATGAAAAGGGTGAAATCATTACAGACCCTGTGGAAATACAAAAGATCATCAATACCTCTTTCGAAAAAGTCTACTGTCACAGGTTTGATAACACAGAAGATATGGATAGATTCCCAGAAACACATGAATTACTAAAGCTGGGTCAAGAAGATATAAAACTGCTGAATAACCCAATTTCTATAAACAAAATTGAAAACGGAGTTAAATCCTTATAAACAAAGCAAAGCCCAGGTCCAGACAAATTCACTACAGAATTCTATAAGAAATTCAAAGAAGACTTAATGCCAACACATCTCAAACTCTTCAGTGAAACTGAAAGGGAAGCAATTCTCCCTAACTCATTCCTGGAAGTAAATATTACTCTAATACCAAAACCTGAGAAAGACCCAACCAAAAAAGAGAACTACCGGCCAATTTCCCAAATGAAAATAGAGGCAAAACTTCTCAATAAAATATTGGCAAACAGAATGCAACAAATCATCAAGATTATACTTCACTACCAAGTGGAATGAATCCTAGGCATGCAGGGATGGTTCAACATATGTAAATCAATAAATGTAAACCACCATATTAATATCAATATCACCATATCAATAGAGCCAAAAATAAGAATCACACGATCATTTCTATAGATGCAGAAAAAGCTTTTGATAAGGTCCGACATTTATTCATGATAAGAACCTTACAGAAAACTGGAATAGATGGTCTTTACCTCAATATGATAAAAGCCATTTATGACAAACCAACAAACAGCATATTAAATGGCGCAAAACTGAAAGGCTTTATCCTAAAATCAGGAACAAGACAAGGATGTCCATTATCATCACTCTTATTCAATATAGTGTTGGAAATACTAGCCAGAGCATTTAGACGAGAGAGAAATAAAAGGAGTAAGGATAGGAAAAGAAGAATTTAAATTATCATTATTTCCAGATGACATGATACTCTACATAGAAGACCTCCAAAACTTCATTGAAAGACTCCTAGGTATGATAAATAAATTCAGTGATGTAGCTGGATACAAAGTCAACACTCGAAAATTAATAGCACTCCTGTATACTGACAACAAAATCACTGAGAGAGAAATAAGAGAAGCTACATCCTTCACAATAGCATCCAACAAAATGAAATATTTAGAAATCAATCTAACAAAAGAAGTAAAAGATCTATTCAGGGAAAATTATAATGCCCTGAAAAAGAAAGTGAAGAGGACCTCAAAAAACGGAAAGAAATCTCTTCTTAATGGACAGGAAGAACAAATACTGTTAAAATGGCCATTCTCCCAAAATTGTTATACAGATTTGTTGCAATCCCCATCAAAATACCACTAGCATACCTCACAGCTCTAGAGAAATCACTACTAAAATTCGTCTGTACCCAGAAGAGACCTACAATAGCAAAGGCAATTCTAAGCAACAAAGGCAAGGCAAGAGGCATCACAATTCCTGACTTGAAGTTATACTACACAACTACTGGAATAAAATTAGCATGGCACTGGAATAAAAACAGACCTGAAGATCAGTGGAATAGATTAGAAGATACAACTACAACTACAAACACCCTCAGCCACCTCATCTTTGATAAAGGGGCCAAACACATTCACTGAAAGAAAGATAAGTCTCTTTAATAAATAGTACTGGAAAAACTGGCTCTCCATATGCCAAAAACTAAAACTAGACCCACGCCTATCACCATGCACTAAACTAAAATCTAAATGGATCAAAAATCTAAATATTAAAACAGACACACTGAAATCTATTGGAAGACAAAGTAGGTAGAAATTTTGAGGACATAGGTAAATGCAGAGATTCATGAACAAGAATCAAACCACACATGAAATATTTCACAGAATCAATAACTGGGATCAT